AATGCTGTCTGTTGATCGTTACGTGAGCTTCACTGTACTGTAACTCTGTTTGATATTACAATAGGACTATAGTGCACTTCTCCCTAAGCTTAATGGCGACTGATGAGTCGAGAGACGAGCCGGGCCCTTCCCCATGCCTGCGGGCGGAGCGCTCCGCTGCTGGAGGGGCGGATTTCACAAGTAGTCTGAACATCCGGTCATTCCGCGCGAATATTTGAATATCGCTCTTTTTCCTCGCTATGATAGCGCGGCGGGCGTGTAGGCAGGCCCGCCCGCCGTGTATGTGGTACGCGGCTGCCTACCTGCCGGGCGCTCTCGTGTTTAGGGTTGGAAGCCCGGTAAAGTTTCCGGAAAATTTCCGGAAAATCTTTGGAAAAGCGGAAAATTTCTGGGGAAAAATGAAAAACTTCCCAGATTTAGGAAAGTTTTTCCTTATTTTCCGTGTATTTTCGGAAAGTTTTCGGAAATTTTCCGAAAAATTTGGGAAATTTCCAACCCGTGTTTGGCTCACTTGGCGTCGTGTCTCCTCACTCTCGCGCCGGGGCACGGTAGCGCCCCCTGCTCCTGGACGCATCTCCCTGCTTCGCATACCAATGAGAAGGGGGGGGGGGTCTTTAGAATGGTACGTCGCCTTTCTACTTCCGGTGTTGCTCGTGCTCATGGCACGCTGCTACGGGCTGGCCGTTTTAGTGCGCGGTTAAGTTATTGTAAGGGCAATGAGGAGGGTTTGATGGGGATCACATCGTCAATTTTTGGCATCAAAGCCGATTTTTTTCAATATTTTATTGATTTATGTTCGAGTTTACACGTCACGCGCTGTGCCTGCACTTGAAGACGGCGGACAGGTTGTACTCTTTCATCTCGTTGAAGAAGTCCATCTCCTCCTTGAGGATGGACAGGAAGAGCTCGACGGCGATGTGGAGCGGGCCGAGGCCGGCGCGCTGGGCCGGGGTCAGCCCTTTGAGGTAGCTGCGCGTGGCGCCCAGGACGTGGCACAGGTCGCTGAGGTGCTCGTCGAGCTCCAGGCCGCGCTCCTCGGCGTCCCGGCGCGCGAACCGCCGCTTCCTGGCCCGGGCCGCGTCGCAGGCCGGGAAGTCGAGGTCCTCCTGGACCATGAAGCGCCTCAGGCAGCCCATGAAGGCGCGGGCGGCGGACAGCAGCGGGCCGTGCGGGTGGCGGGCGAACACCTCCTCGCGGTAGCACTCGCGCAGGTGCACCAGCAGGCACCACAGGTCCAGCACGGCCAGGCGCAGCTGGAAGGCGGGCGCCGGCCCCGGACCCGCACCGGCCAGGGACGGCGCCATGGACAGCGGCGGGAAGACGACCGCGGGGCCGGTGGAGGTGGCCGAGGCCGTGACCTTGCCGGGGGCCGGGGCGGTGGAGGTCTCGGTGGTGGCCTCCGCCAGCTTGCCCGTGTCCGCGTCCACGGCCATGACGGTGGCTTTGGTGGTGTCGGACAACAGGGTCAGGACCGCGGACGGGTCGGGGCCGGCAGCGAAGGAGCCGTCGAAGGCTGAGTCTATGGAGACTGCCCTCACTGCAACAGACGAAGGGGGCTTGGTGATGTTTTTTTTTTTCAGGGACCATTCCATTGCATCCACACGCACACGGCATGGGTACCAAAGTAGTACACTATTACTGGCAAAACAGATGATCCCAGAAAGTGCGCCCGGCGTCATTCGCCGTTCGCAACCTGTCAAGTTTAGCCAAATAATGCACAGCTCTCATAGCGCCTGGTGGGTAGGCAACATCTCGCCTGCCGTGCACGCGTGTACAGCGGGGTGGCCTACCCCGAGTCTCGCAGGCGCCTAGGTCCTGTAATCTGCTGCCTCACCTGGCGTCACGCTGTCCATCCCTCGGTCTTCCTTCGGCGTTTCTGCGACGGTCGAGCGGTGGTCGTCTGCGGACGTGCGCTTCGCTGACGGGGTGCTCTCGGTAGCTGGACGGCAGAAGTGTTGCGCAGCCACTGGGCAGGCCAAAGAGGCCACCCGCGCATTTGAACGCGCCGGGCCCGGGGCCGGGCCGCCCCCAAGCGGGGAGGGTTGAAAGGAGACACCCGCGGCCCCCCGAGTCAGAGTCAGTCACCTGGGCGTATACCGCAATCGCGCGGAACTTGGCGACGTCGTCGATGCGAACGATGCAAACCGAGACCGCGTCGTCGTCGCTGCTTTGGCCTCGGCTCGGCTCCGACCTCCCCCGCAACAAGCGCACCATCTGGAGCGCAGCTCAGCACGGCGGGGAGCGGCGGCCGGGGTGTCCGGTGGCCCGGTGACGGCCGGGGGTCAGGACGGTGGTGTGGTGGCGGTGGCCGATGTGCTGACGATGAACTTCGCGGTCCGGCGATGCAGCAGACTGCAACGTTAGCAGGTTTCGCTTCTTTCTTCTACATATTTTTTTATTCCATCTGTCTTTGCAATGTACACTCTAAAAAATATGTCGTTGTGGAAAATTGAGAGCATTAATTTACATTTCTTTTCTGGCTCGTTTTTCAACAACACAGTCGTCACAACTGTGTCAATTCATATATTTTTTACATATATTTTACATACATGCACAAGTTTGCCAGAACCTATCCTTTCTTGTCCAGTGTAGAAAGGCTTTGCTCCTCTCCCTCCTCACCCATGTATGCACTTCCACAGCAGCAATAGCGAGACCTCCTCACCCCCGTTTAGCTACAAAGTGTTCACAAACTGCGGCTAAACTTGCCCTGGAAGATGCAGAGAGGTAGGAGGGGGGGGGGGTGAGTGTTCAGTTCACTCTCGTGTGGGACTATACTGCCTATGCCGCTGATACATATTTCTGTGGAATCTACCTTTTCTGACACCTAGGTGCGGCTCACTCACCGCCGTGTCGCCCACCGAGGGTACCCCCTTCCC